AATTAATTATTTTCTTATGGTAAAATAATAAATTTCAAAATATACAGACAGTTATAATCTTTGATGCGAACATTGGCTTTCATTCAGTATTAAATTTAACATCAATTTAAACATCAATAATTTAAGTCAGCAAGAATATTAATACTTAAATAACCATTAGTATTATAGTCAAGAAACAAAATAATATTAATTTAAATGTTTATTTTTGATGTACAACATTTATAACACAGTGAGTTCATCTTGTTAAATGAATGTAGTATGCCAATTATCAAAGTTGAGTAACTTGCAAATTAAAGAGAAGCTTGTATGAAAAGTTCTAACAACTATTTGCTAAATTTAAAATGTAATGTTTAAATCAAATAAAATGACTATTATTTTAGATATATTGGTATTTTTCAAATATATAATTGTAATTATGATTTATATATCTACATAATTTGAAAATGTAAATTCCTTTCAAAATGATCTGTACAAATAAATAGGTAATAATAAACTAATAAACGTAAAAGAATGAAAATCCAAAACAAATTAACTATAATGACCACTTGTCAAATACAATAAAACAATTCATAAGTAATGAATCTCAGTTGATGACTTGATGTTTACTGTTTAGACAGAAGCGTACTATTTCATTATGTAAAATAAAATATATTATGGTAATCTTCCTATAATTATCATGGTAATTTTGTATATTAATATTACGTTATAATATTATATAATATCTAGACCTTAGCCGAAAACAAATTTCTTCGGGAGGTGAAGGTCCAACATTATTTTCATTTAGATTCCTACTGGACATTTGTAATTTTTTAAGTTCAAATATAAAAACTCTTTACTCTCGTTATTTCTGTTTTAACGAAAACATTAAATTATTCTTAATACAATGTATATATATAGTCAACGAAAAATATTCAGAGATAACATTTTTCTACTTTCGAAAAATGTCGGGGGGTCCTGCTCCTGAAATCTTCTCCCAGCGGCCTTGTTACTATATATTAAAACTGATAATAATTACCACGATAGTGTTTATTATTTTACATTTTTATTGTACTATTATTTATTATTGTTAACCACTCAACAATTATTATTATTTATTATTATTGCATTTTTATTGATGTGCTGATGCCAAGCAGACATGTGCCAAAATATACCAGGAAGTGTTCGGGGGTGAAATTATCCTTTAGTTAAAAATAAACTATAGGCCTGTTTTTTTTTTTTAATTAGATAGTAAATTATTTGTATTATTGAGAGAATCATTCAGCGTATTATACGAGTCACAGGCAATCCTCATTATTTTCATATTATCCTCGGTTGTTTTTTTACAATCATTTTCATAACACTAATAATATGTAAGCACATATACTTTGTAATCTTTATATTTTCGAAGCGTAACGTCTAATAATTTTACAATTACTAGTTTTTAGTTTTGATATTTCAATGGCTTATTCAGGAATTTAGATTTATGTTTGTATTTCTTGTTATTATTTGTTGATGACAGAATATAGTATTCAGGTGGGTTGAATAATGTATATTTATGAAGCGGATATTACAATTGACGTTTTAATTACTCGCTATTACCAGGCCGAGTTTACAATTGACATTTTCGTTGTCTCTAATTGCAGGCCAAAGTGTACAACAAAAAAGTTAATCGAGTTTATATTTGTCCAGAAAAAATACGCTCCCAACCGTTTGTGCGCAGCAATCATGTAGCTATTATCAAAAAATCACAAACAATATTATTTTACTTATCGAACAAAAATAAATGACGTTATAATTAAGAAAAACATTATTTGAAAATATGAATCTTACATAATATACAAAATATAAAGATCGTTAAAATATACAAATTACAATATATTTATGAATCTGAATCATGAATAGCTATAATTATTAATATTTATGTAGGTACTCAAATATTTTTCATTGAAAAAAGTAAAACCCAATTATTATTATAAAGTCGGTTTTACATAATCTTGAAAAATGATTTGTTTTTATATCAAATTATTATACGTGTTGACACTACTTGATATATTTCGTATGAATCTGTCACTTTATAGTAACTGAATGACAATTATTATTTGTTTGAATCCATCGTGAAAGCATAATATTTCAATAATAGTAATTATATTTCACAAAACTTGCTATGAAATATGAATTATTTGTTATTTAAATATTTTAGGTTGAGTTTAATTACAAGAAGCTATGGCCAAAAGTGCTGACATTTGTTTTGTAATCACAAAGTCAGTTATCCTAAATTATAATATTCCTAAACTTCAGGTATAGGCAGAACAGCTAGAGACATAACTTCTATACATTTTAGCATCAGTCTCGGCATCCGAGGCCATTGGACCTGGCCATTCACATTTCAACCAACGTCTCGACCCCTCGGGATTGATCAATCAATCAATGCTTCATTTATTCGCTTGATGAAAATGAGTTAATTTGGGTGTTTGATTAATTTTAGTTCATTAGCCTTTTATACATTTGTGATTTATGTGAGACGATTGTCCTTCGAATTATTGTTAAAACACTTTTCATTTCTACAAACCGTGATTACCATAGGACACTATATTTTACTATGTACTGTATTTCGACATTCAAATATAATCAAAGCGTTATTTACAATCTACAATATACAGTAAAACCTCCTTATAATGCGCCCACTATAAGACCTATAACGGAATAAATAAAACGCTATTTTCCCTAAAACCGACAATAGCATCAGTTTCATATTACCTATATGCCATATATTGTAGTCTCAATAACCAGAAACTCCTAGTATGTTACTTAAAAATCTGTTGGTACCAAGAGATTCCATTATAAATAAGTTTTACTATAAACTAATATTAATATTAATATCTATACTTAAATTAACTTTGCCTAAATTACATTACTAAATAACTATTTAGGAATTTTATTGAGGTTTGAGCCATATTATGATACCTAAAAGTTTAAAATTTAAAATATGAAATTATTTCAAAAAATTACAAAATTGTTTTTATCAATTAAAATATCAAGTCGCGCGGTACATGGTCATATTGCGTGAATAAAATCCAAGTATAACGAACTCTCATTAGACGAAATTGCCTGTTTAACGAAATATTTTTGGGAAGCAAACCTGCAAATTACAAAATTTTGCTTTGCTAACAAAATGTATTTAATTATATTTAACAAAATGCTCCATATTTTTTTTGTTGCCGACGAGACTTTATAATATTACCAACGTATCACGGCGTATGTAATATTGTATTTCTCTAACATAGTGTGCATTATACGGCGACAGATAAATAATACTGAATGTGGGCGAACATGAAAGGATTTCGATGTTCAATTTGACAAACCACTTAGGTAGTTAAACCGAGTAAAATTTAATGTATATTTAAATAAAATATATTTCAAGTTAATTTGTGTTTCCTTTTTGATTATTATCATACGAGACATTATATAATATTAATTTTCCCAGTCGAAAATTGACATTAATAGGAGCCGTGGGGGAGTAGTTAAAATTCCTAATACCGTCTGGAAAATCCTAAAATTGTTGTCTTATTTTTCATACATATAATAATTATAGTGGTATTTACGTCGAACGGCATATTTTAATGGTAAAAATGAAATAAGCTATTTGAATGTTGCTCTGTTGTCATAATTGAATGATAAAATTGTTTTTCCAATATGGCAAATACTAAAATGAAATATTTTATCAACAATTCACAGTTATTGAATTCAAAGAAATCACTGGTGTTACGAATTTTCTATTACATTATTATAAATAAATAAATAACATTATTACACATTTACCAATTACCAACGAATGTTTTACGACAACTCAAATATCCAGAAGCTTTTAATTTCAAGGACAAATAATAATATCACAGTAAGTGTGCATTGTATATTAATCCATATACCAACTAAACCACCACTAAGTATAAACAGTTTACAGTTCACATTACCATTTGCTCGCTCGTTCGGTGGCCTTTGCAGAAATAACTGTTACAATATTTAAGCTGTTACTACTAATTTTATTTAAATTATAATACGTAACTACCTATATAGTTTATCAATGCCCTTATATAGCTAAACATATTTTACATTATCCTTTAATCGATAGTTAATTCTTTCTGATCCGGTAGGTACCTACTTACATATACCATAATAATGTTTTAAACGTTTTCTTCTCCATAGCAAATATCACGCGAATAAATTTTGTTTTTTTTTGTTTTTCAATTTTTTACTATTGAAATAGTATTGAAATTCAAAATGTTCACAGATCATAAGCTGCAGCCAAATATTATATTATAATAATATTTATCAACAAATCTATATAAATTGAAATTATCAAGTATAGAATAATCCAACTGTTAATAATACTAACTACATAAATACTACTGTTGAATGGCATATATTTTTGTTATACTTATAATAATATTTTAGAATATTCGACATCACTCCACCGGCACGAAGAATGTATAGGAATGTGTAGAATGTATTTCACTCGTTCCATTCATAAAACTAAACATATATAATATATATGGACCCATTGTATGTTAATGTCGAATGGTGTTATTTGAGTGGGTATCGGTTGTGCGAAATCCATTTTAATTTTAAAATATTCTTAATAATTGGGTTATCCAAAAATATATTAATAACTTATAACGAATGACGTATTATAAATGCAAAAGTATTTCACGAAATATTGAAGTGGTATACATAAATTGATGATGCTCGTCAAATACTCAAATATGACAAACATTAAACGCTCTTGGAAACATATTATTTTTATCCACATTTTAAATCCTTATTCAATATGTCACTTGGATCGAAATAATACATACTAAACACTAATTTAATGCAGTAAAAATATAACTATGAGACTATTTTTATAAATTGTCATCTATCTTCATACCTATAACATTATTTTCTTCAAATAACTTAAAAATATTATTTTTTTTTGATACTGAATATTTCATATCTAATTAAAATAATGTAAACACAATTTTACAATTCAAATTATTTATACTTTATTTATTTTTAATTGACATTTAGGTACGGCACATAGAAACAAATATTCATTAAGAAAAAAATCAAAATTGTCAATCAACGTCTATCCAGGAGTTACCTTATACAAATATACAGTTTTGTCGTAACAAAGATTTATTTAGACTTACGACAGTATCTATAAATTGACAGAAAATGTTTGGTAACTTCTGGACGGGTTATAATTAACAGATAGTATACACTAATAAACGTAATATAACATTTTCATTAAAATCCAATTGGAACAATTAAAATTGCTGTTTAATAAAGCCAATAATACATTCATAAAATGACTTTCAATGTCGATTATTTAATTATAATTTATTGTACATTTTGATCCTATTAAACGTTTATTTAAAAAAAAAAAACACTTTCAATAAAAAAATATCCTTGTAATTTGGATTACAATCAATAAAATTAACTTAAACTAAAAATAAAATTACCTGAGCTTTTGTGGCATTAAAGTTTATAGTACAATTTAACTGTCAATTGATTTTTTTTTTTTTTTGTTCAATATGGACCCAATCGCATAGCTGCATGTTCAAATATAAACAATATTGAAATGTTATATTTATGCTGTGCTGTTTTATTTGTTTTCTAGTTTGTAGTTTTTTTTAGTCTTTAAAAGTGTTTTGCTATTATTTTCAATATTATTCATCTTTTGTTTTCCTTCTTACAACTTTTATTTTTCTTCCAAATTCTTGTTGGTCATAAATTGGGGCATTTGGGTAATTCTTTCTACTTGGGCTTTTAATTACAACGGATGGATTTAATTGACTTTGTTTCACTACTTGATCAAAACTGCTTCTGATAGTTGCAGTTTGTGATTCACTTTGTTCGCAATATGAACATTTATATGGTACCTGATAAGCCGAGGGGAAAACAGGTTCTAATTTAGATGATAGCACATCTTTTGATGCTGCACTTCCTGCTCCACACGATGGATAAAATACTACAGGCACAAATCCAATAACAGCACCCTCCGGGAGATTATTCAAGTCAAATGTTGGTTGTTGTTGTTGTATTTGATTAGTAGAATTACTACTTGTTGGTGGAACAAAATAGCATGGACAAGATCCTGGATTTGGCACAATTGGCAAAGGATAAGGAATTATATTGACTGGCGTCGAAGAATCCGGTGAAAGAGTACTGAATTGGTCTTCGTAAGATATGGTACTGGTTGATTCCACAGAATTAATATTTTCAGGTGTCGATGATGTTTTAGCTGGTACACTATACAACAGAGTGCTGGTCTCTGGTTTGTTTGATGATAAGACTACCTGATTCGATTCTTGACCAAACTGATATGGTAATTTGGGTGCCTTTGTAGGACTGTTCACGTATTGTGGAGTAAGTGAGCTGGAATATCCAGATGATCCCGACGATGGTCCTATTAATTCATTTTTACTTAAAACTACGGCTTTTTGGCCATCATTGGATTCAGGTTCATTTGGCACATTAATGCGTACATCTATCAAACTAGGTGTTTTTGGATATTCTACAGTTGTTTGGCTAGATTTACTCTTGTAACCAGATGTTGAAGTAGAGACGGGTGTAGTTATTTGAGGTGTTTTACCTTTGTTTTCTGTTGCTGGGTATGTAAATTGTGGTTCAGGATAACCATACAAATTTCCGTTGAAAGGATATTGATCGCCAGCTGGGTATGAATTAAAATCTGGTTGACCAGGGTATACTTGATTTTGACCCGGGTAAAGTTCAAAATAACCAGGGTACCCAGATGGTGAACTAGGTGGTGGGTAATTAGGAAGTGGTGCATTTGGAGGAGGGGGTACTGGATAACCTGAACTCAAATACCCTGGATATTCATTTGGCTGCTGTGCTCCATAGTCAGGAACATTTGGTCTTTGAGGATAGCTGGTAGGGTAGACATAATTCTGACCCGGGTATGTTGGTTGAGGATTAGGCTTATTTGGATAACCATTGGATGGTAAACCTTAAAAAAAATGATGATTAACTACAAGTTAAAAAATGTATTGAGTTATTTAAATACTAACCTGATACACTTCCACTGCCTGGAGTTATGGGAGATGGGCTGGGTTTTGGTGAAGTGGGATAAGAACCTGGGAATCCTGGGGTTCCTGGAGTTCCTGGAGTGCCTGGTTGACCGGGAAGGCCTGGTTGACCTTAAACAATAACACGATTATGTTACACATAAAAAGTAATTACGCGTATTACATAACTAAATCATTAATAAAAGTTATTAATCATCAAATATTTGAAATATGTATTTTTCAACCACTATACAGTTGTTGATACATAACATTGAAAACAACCATGTTTACGCTATCATCCACATGACAATTTAAAATTTTTAATTTATTAGTTTACTCAAAATTAGTAGTCTAAAATCTATAATATTTATTTATTTATTAGTAGCCTATATAACTAAAATCTATGTAAAAACTCTAGATATAATATATTTTACCTGTAGAACCAGGATATCCTGATGGATTAGGTTTTCCATAGTCAACCGAAGCTTGAGGATTTTGACCAAACGATTGAGCTGGAATACCTGGGAGGCCAGGGGTTCCTGGTTGTCCTAAAATATTTACAAAGTAAAATACTAAAATTAAAAATTAGTTAGAGTAAATTTAAGGATAATATTTGATACCTATATTATAAAGTAAAAATGAATAGATTAACAACTCCTAAAGCAAATATTTGAAACCTTAAAAATTTACTCCAGAAAAAATATATATCAACTAGCGAATATAGCAGTAAATTGTCATAGATAACTACTTTAAATTTAAAGTTTAAACTGTTTAGGTCAAAATTCAAGTTTAAATGTACCTGGTGTACCAGGAGAACCTGGATATCCAGCAGGTGGTGTAGGTTTTTGGTAGGACGGTCCCGCGGGGATTCCTGGTGTACCTGGTGTACCTGGAGTACCAGGAGTACCTGGTTTTCCTGGTTGGCCTGAGGTATAAATCACAGTTACGATCAAATACAAGATTTAAATACAATTTGAATGTTTGAAAATGTTTAAACAGTCATTTAGATTTATAGGCATAATGAAGTAATTTTTTTTAAATTGTATTTACCTGAGCTTCCGGGATAACCAGAATACGATGGTTGTGAAGGATATGTTGGTTTAACTGGGTATGTTGGTGGACTTGGTTTTTGATAAGATGGCTGGCTTGGTATTCCTGGGGTTCCTGGTTGACCTACAATCATATTTCACAAATTATTTTATAAAAAAATATATTAAATAGGTAATTGTTAAATTTTTATTTGTTAAAAAATAATTTTAAGTTCTTAAGACATTGAAAATGTCATATATGAATAATATAATGTATGTATTATGTACTTAAATTATAAATGTTTAGTAAATGATGATGTCACAAAGACACTTTCTAACTAGTAACTTATTTTAAAATACATTGAAGTATTATCTACTATTGGTAATTTCGTGTATAGATTTTATAAGTAATATTTTCATATAAAAGTATATATTTTAAAATAATATAGTTGAGCATGTTATTTTATTGAGCATAAAATTCAAACCACTTATTAAAGAAAAATTCAAATATTTTACATTTATCTCGTTATAATAATATATTTATACAGACATTTAGTGATAAAGGTAAAAAAACAGTAGTTATGTCAAAATATTTGTAGTATGACTGTGACTGTATACCATTTTAAAGATAAATAAGAGATATTATTATTAGTTGAATGAGTTAAATAAACGTGCAACTTCAAAATAAACTAAAAATTATTATTATTTCACCAACTATATTTTTGATGAGTTATTAATTTGAACATTAAAAAACTTTTTCCTAATAATTGTCTTTTTTGACGAATAGCAACTTTTGGCTAACTGTACTGTGTAGAATATACTTCTAGAAAGTATATTTTTATGTTAGAAACAATTTTGCTTTTAAATTGAATAACGTTAATTTCATTATTTTTTTTTTTTAATTTTGAGTCGTATATTATATATTATTAACCTGGTAATCCTGGGGTGCCCGGTTGACCTACAACATAAACAAATGTGAAAGATATATTATTATAATTATTCACATTGCTTGTATGTTGATTATTATATAATTTTAAATATTATACCTGGACTTCCTGGATATGAGGAACTTGGATAACCCTGTGAGCTTGGTTTGACAGATTGATAATTAGGTGTTTGATTTAATGCAGAGCCTGGATAAGCTGAGCCTGGTGTTCCAGGTGTACCTGGTTGACCTTTATTAAAAAAAAAATTTTATTCTTACAATTATTATTCAACCAATAGATTTTAGTAAAGGTATTTATCTGAAACGATAATTAATGTTATTCATATATTGTATTGTACTATCAATTAAAAATGAGTAAGTACCTGGCAATCCTGGTGTTCCGGGTAATCCTAAAACAATTATATTATATTGTATTTGAACAAAACAAAGAACATTCTTATATTTTATGTATTTTTTGTAATAATTTTTATTGTTTACCTTGACTTCCAGGATAAGAAGATCCTGGATATAAAGATGGATTTCCATATTGGTTAAGGGGAGTTGGTTTTTGATATGAGGGCTGGTATCCAGACCCAGGTAGACCTGGTGTTCCAGGTTGACCTGCGAAAATAAAAATAATATTTATATAAAAAAAAGTTTTAACGTAATAGATATGTTATTTAATGTAATTGTTGAACTATTATTTTTATGTTTCACCCTTGAGACAATGATAGGTTTATCAAGTTATTAAAATATAAATAAATATTATGTCAATCAAATTATTTTTCATACTAGGTATTTATTTATTTATTGTATTATTATTATATTATTCATTAAATATTTTCCAAAAATAAAATATAGTGTAATGATATTTTCATAAACATTTAATGTAGGTAGTAACTTCAAGTTTTCATAAATTCAATTACACAATTAAATACAACAACAATTGTTTTGGATGGTACTTACTTAATTAACCTTTATAGGTATTTAATATACATATATAATATATATATGTATAGTTACATACATACAGATTAAATGACTGTTTTTATAGTTTCAATATTAGGATTTATAAAATATATCTTTGTTCATTCTTATACTCATTTTCTTGTGATAATAAGATGTTTTTTCTTTAAATAAAATTACCTGGAAGTCCTGGAGATCCGGGGTATCCTGATTGACCTGAAAAATATTATTAAATATGTAAATAAATAAATCATTATACCATAATTTTGTGTTGATGAGTACACATAGAAATTTCTGATTTGCCTTAAATCATCTATTTTATTATATAGGTATCATGTTAATATTGTGTTTCATATTTTTTTCTAAATCGTGAGTAAAATAACCTATAAACAAATCTGAAAATAAATACATAAACCATAATGTCTGATACTTATTTATGTTGATGAAATGTAAGACCGTTGTACTTAGTTGGTAATATTTTGTAATAATTTGCTTCAAACATTTAAATTATTTTCTGCTTGTAATATTTTTAATTTAAACATTCATTTGCATGTTATTCTTAAATGATTTATAAAATTTAATTAAAAAATGAATTTTTATTATATTGTCTAGTATTAGAATTAGATAAAAATATAATAAATATAAATATATAGTTATGATATGATTGCAAATAAGTATATTATACATCTTTATTTATACTCATGAATGTAGTGTAGTACATTGTATCATATTAAATGTATTAAATATAATATATAGATTATAGGTATTGTACTATGTATTATTATTTGTTACTGCATTACCTGGTCCTACGGGATATGCAGATGGTGGTGTGGGTTTCGGGTATGAAATTGTGCCTGGTAATCCTGAAGCACCTGGTAAACCTGGAGTGCCTGGTTGGCCTAAACATATTATTTCTTATTAGAATATATATATAAATAAAATATTATGATATTTTTATAAAAATAAAAAAATTATTCGATTAATACTCAATATAAATAAATAATACAATATAATTAAAAATATTAATGTACCTGGACTTCCGGGGTACCCTACATTTGGTTTTTGATAAGTTGGTTGTGGTTTTTCATATGATGGTATACTTGGTATAACTGATGCTCCTGGTTTACCTATATAGTTTTTATTAAAAAGGTTAATATTAAAAATCTTTAAGCATTTTAATCCAAGTAAAAATGTTATTTAACTAATATGTTAAGTTTATTTCAAATAAACATATTATACCTGGTAATCCTGGAGTTCCTGGCTGACCTGGTTGACCTAGTAAAAAAAATGAAACCAGATTATATTAATTGAGTTAATATATTATTATTTAATTATTTTTATATACACAATAAAGTTGTGTAGTCTATAAGTATTGTATTTTATATGAAAGCAATACTAACATTTTGCAAAAAATTAAATAAATATTTCTCTATACCTGGGGTACCTGGATAAACTGATCCTGGGTATGGAGATTGTGGGACATAAGATCCTGGTTTTCCTTAAATCAAATAATTGAAAATGATACATTTGTAATTTATTTTAAAGTTAAATTTACTTTTAAATTAGATTATTAATTAAAAACGTATATCATGTGTTATTCTGTATTCATTAATATTTATACATAATAAAATAACAGCCCGCAGAATAAACAATTTAATCTAATTAACCAATTACTACTTGTATTTTGATAAAGAATGATATTTATTAATACATAAAATATTATTTAGCTTACTGGTCATTTAATGGAACATTACTTGTACAATATACTAACGGAACACATACCTACTTTAATAAACTCTAAAAAACCTTCTAATAATAATTCAATTCTCGAGTGATACAGTTTATAAATCTACAACACAATCGAATTTTTTTAATACTTAATGGACAGCTTAGAAATTATGTTTCTGGTAAGAACTATATCAGCATGACGTACGTCACTATAGTATTTTACACTACAGGTCTACCTTTATATAGCATGTATATTATTTCAAATATCGTGTTTAATTTACCTGGTAGACCAGGAGAACCTGGCGAACCTGGAGAACCTGGTGAACCTGGAGCTACAGGGTATGATGGTTTCGGGTATAGTGAAGAACCTGGTAATCCCGGAGTTCCTGGTTGGCCTACAAAATTAAAAACCAAAACATAAAACACATATAAAAACATGTTCGTACTCTAAATTAAATCACGACATATGTTATTATAAGGAAACAAATTAATTAATGAATTAACATTTATATTTTAGTGTCTTATATTATACATTTATTCACGTTATAATTATGTTATATTATACACTAATGAAATTAAGTTATTAGTACCTGGTGATCCTGGGTATCCTGGAGTGCCTGGTGATCCCGGGGCTCCTGGTACAAATTAAGAATTATATTTTTAAAATTACATTTTATGAGTGTTTATAAAGCCTATCAAAGTACCTGGTCCGCTAGGATATAATGTTCCTGGGTATGGTGTTGGTTTTTGGTAGGAACCGGGCAGGCCTGGTGTTCCTAAATAAATAAATAATTTATTGTTTTATTTAATATTTTTGAAATGAAATATAAAACATAATATTTGGATATTTATAGTTTTTAATACTTAATCATTTTTTAATTTTATATTAGTTTTTAAAAATATTTAATTTATACCTGGTAATCCTGGTGATCCTGGTAACCCTGGTGATCCTAGATTAAATTTGAAAAATATTTGGTGTTAACTAAATATTTTTTCATGTTATTGAAACAAATTATAGTGATCTCAGTCAAATTACCTGGACCACTTGGGTATGAAGTTGGTCTGTTAAATGAAATTGATCCCGGTGAACCTGGCAAACCTGGAGCTCCTATGTAAAAATTAATCTTATGTTATATTTACAATAATTTAATGTCTTTTTCTAAATAATAGATTGTGAATAAAAACAACAATTAAATATTTTTTTTGTGAACTCATAAGTGGTCGAAAATTGTGAGGTTATTCGCAGTGGTTTTTTTTTATTTACAATATGTAAGTGGTAAAATTAATATAATAGTTATTGCATTAGTAAGTAATAAAATACCAACCTGGAATTCCTGGAGTTCCTGGTAAACCTGATGAGCCTAAATAAAATTTAAAATGCATATATTTAATCAGTTGCCTTACAATATTTAAAATAATGAACATATCATTATAAAATCAACAATTTGTATATTACTGAAACATATACGTATGAGTATGTATTTATTTAAAAAAATTCTAACATGAAGTTAAAATTATTTATTTTAGATTAATGATTTTCTTATAAGGGTATTAGGTATTAGGTATTACCTGGTGCACTAGGATAAGATGAAGTGGGGTAAGGTGATGGTTGTTGATATGATGGAAAGCCTGGAGATCCTGGTTTACCTATAAAAAATAAGTAAATAATATAATTAATTTAGCGTTTATTGATGCTGAAGTAATTTCTTTAAATCACAAGATTAATTTCTAAATATATTGTACATAAGTTTAGTCGTATATTAACCTGGTAAGCCTGGAGTTCCGGGTAAGCCTGGGGAGCCTGGAGAGCCTGGAGAACCTGAGAAATGGTTTAAAAAACATTTTTAACTTACTAATATTATTTGTTTTATAAATCAAAAACATTATTACTTCGTAATTAATTCATTGAATAGTATGAAATTTACTAATCATAAACAGATATTAAAATTTAATATAATTAAATTATATTGTTGACAGTACATAAAAATTTTAAGTTGTCAGAATTACATTTTGAAAAATATCTAGTCCATAAGATTTGTAAATTAGATACTTTTTAATGGTTTTAAAATCAAATATTATATTGATCATAATAACCTGAGCTACCAGGATAAGTGGATGACGGATAAACTGTTGGTTTTTGATAAGATGGTAGGCTGGGTAGTCCTGGGCTACCTGGAGCACCTGGAATACCTGGAGATCCTGGAGATCCTAATAACAAAACAATTGAATAGATATTAAAAATAAAATTTTAAATTTTGTGGACAGTAAGTTTATTATTAAATTACCTGGTTTTGGGTAAGATGATAATCCTGAACCTGGTTTACCTAAAAAAAAATTAAATTTAGAAATATTTAACCATTTGAATAGTTTTTTACACATTTTATGTTAATTTAAACATAACTTATAACCTACATTGTTTATGTATATAATTCACACTACAAATTTACTTTCTCAATATGTTAACGATCATGTGTGAACCATACTGTATGTATATATGTATTATGTTATGTGTAGGATATTAATTTATTGATAAGCTACGATGCAACTATAGTTACTTTCATGAAACTAAACAGCTAACTTTTAACATTAATTTCAGTTTTTTACCTAATCTTTTAACGGTAGTTTTAACTATTTTGTGATCTAAAAACACAATAATTAAAATTACTGTTTACAGACACAGTAAGGAACTGAATTTATATTCATAGTCAGACAATGTCATACCCACACTTTTCATGAAAGTGATACCTATTTTCTTTTTTAACCAACAGAAATAATTTCAACTCTGAACTAAACTTTCAAAAATATTACCAGGTAAGCCAGGAGTTCCTGGTAATCCTGGGGATCCGGGTTTCCCTGGTGAACCTGGAGTTCCTGATGATACTGGATAACCACCTGGATAGCCTGGAGATCCTGGTGCACCCGGATAGCCAAGAGAACCTGGAGAGCCTGGTGAGCCTGGGTATCCAAGTGATCCTGGGAACCCTGGAGATCCCGGTGAGCCTGGAGATCCTGGTGAACCCGGAGATCCTTGTGTGCCAGGGTACCCATGAGATCCTGGAGATCCTGGCGAACCTCCTAAATGATGATGAGATCCCGGTGAGCCTGGTGAGCCCGGTGAGCCTGGTGAGCCTGGCAAGCCTGGTGAGCCTGGCGATCCTGGATAGCCATGTGATCCGGGTGATGTTGTGGAACTACCTGGGTATCCGAGGGATCCATGTGACCCTGGAGATCCTGGGGATCCTGGAGACCCTGGAGACCCTGGTGAACCTGCCGATCCTTGTGAGCCTGGGTAACCAAATGATCCTGGGAAACCAAGTGATCCTGGTGAACCTGGTGATCCAGGTGATCCTGGAGATCCTGGTGAGCCCGGTGATCCTTGTGAACCTGGGTAACCAAATGTTGGTGGAGATACTGATCCTGGGTAGCCAAGTGATCCTGGTGAACCTGGTGATCCTGGTGAGCCTGGAGCTCCTGGTGAGCCTGGAGATCCTTGTGAACCTGGGTAACCAAATGATCCAGGAGATCCTGATCCTGGGTAGCCAAGTGATCCTGGTGACCCTGGGGATCCTGGTAATCCTGGGGAGCCTGGGGATCCTGGTGAGCCTGGATATCCTGGCTTATTGAATGAACCTGAGGAACCTGGATAACCACCAGACCCTGGGGATCCTGGTGATCCTGGGGAGCCTGGAGATCCTGGTGAACCTGGTGATCCTGATCCTGGATAGCCCAATGATCCGGGGGACCCTGGTGATCCCGGTGAACCTGGAGTTCCTGGTGATCCTGGCGATCCTGGTAAACCTGGCGATCCTGGTCCTGGGTAGCCAGGTGCCCCTGGGGAGCCTGGGGATCCTGGTGATCCTGGAGATCCTGACCCTGGGTAGCCAAGTGTTCCTGGGGAGCCAGGCGATCCTGGGGATCCCGGTGATCCTGGGGAGCCCGGAGATCCTGGTGAGCCTGGATATCCTGGCTTTCCGAATGAACCTGGAGATCCTGGAGATCCACCAGATCCTGGATAACCACCAGATCCTGGATAACCACCAGATCCTGGAGACCCTGGAGACCCTGGTGATCCTGGGGAGCCCGGAGACCCTGGTGATCCTGGGGAACCTGGATATCCCGGCTTACCGAATGATCCTGGGGATCCTGGAGATCCACCAAATCCTGGAGATCCACCAGAACCTGGATAACCACCAGATCCTGGGGAGCCTGGAGAACCAGACGGTCCTGGTGATCCTGGGGACATTATCAAATTACAATTATTAATTATTGGAATATTATAATAATATATTTATTATATTGTATATAAATTGTTGTAACAATAATTCATACCGGGTGCTCCAGCTGGTCCTGGTTGACCAACTCCGACAAAACTAGGGTATCCCGATGAACCAGATCCGCCTAATTGGCCAGTACCTTGAATTGGACGTCCTCCTCCACATCCTTTTGGGAAATAAAGATCACCCCATGCTGTTACCACTCCATGGTGTCCATGATGTTCGTGTTCCGAACCTCCCTCAGAACTTTCATTAGTTTGATTTTCATCAGAGGGGTCATGTTTATGATGGAATATTTCTACAGATTCACCAGGTGTGACAACTCTATATCCCCAACCATCAGATATATAATGAGTTGCTTGTAATTTTCCTTCTGGATCTACATATCCGTAACAACCATATGTGAATCCATCTGGACCTTTATTCTCGTGGTGGAATTGACCATTTGGGCCTACTTCGTAGCCGAATATATAGGCCACTATCAAATGAAAAAATTGATGTAGTTTTATATTATAATAATTTATGGCTCAAAAATACATACTGGTATCGAAATTTTGCTCATGATATTGAGTTTTATTGCTGTCTTCAATGTTAAGCACCACTTCCAAATCATTTGGGTTAGTTTGCTGAGAAAAGGCAAACTGAATCCCCAAAATTGCGAACAGTATTAAATACATCTAAAAACAAAATGAACATTTTATCATATATATTATTAAAGATATCTTAAAGTTTAAATAAAACTTAGCATAATACTATATCGGATTGGAAGTTATTTTCAAATTACGAAATTATCAACAAGATCAATGTCTCTTTACTATTGAATTCAATTTTTAATTCAATTTCACAACATAGATTTACTATGCACCAATAATGTATAAAATCACAACGTCAATGTTAAAATGACACGCGAGAACTCTTCAAAGTTTGAAGATAACGATTATGATGTATTACATTTGTTAGAAATAAAATTTGTTTACCTATATGATAGTTTAAAATTTAAATGACCAACTCATTGAATATGTTTAAACTTTAAAGAACTATAATGTATCATATAGTTTTTGATAATTGAATAGTTTTTATGTTTAATATGTTACTACTTATATTCTACATTACACGTAGGCTGGAACATATAATATAATATATTCGTCATGTATTAGGTAGGTACAACAAAATTACCTGATAAATCAAATTTTTTTTTCTAATCAATATTTAAAAATTGTTTTTGTATAATATAATTTATAGACGTTTGCGTTTTAAATACAACATAAGATCTTGTATTTTTTTTTTTTTTATGTTGATACTTTAATTAGAATCAATTTTTAATTTTACATTTTCAAGTCTTTTTGTTACATACCAAGTATCTACAATTATATAATATATGTTTGTTTAGACTATCTAAGATACAATAAGTGATATAGATTACTTCATAGCAAGTGTACCTAACTACTCAGTATAGGAAAGGAAAAATGATTGCCTAAAGTTTTAAATACATTTAAATTCTAATTATTGCATGACATAATGCATGCAGTAAGGCTCAATTGTAAGTAGTACTTGAGCTATTTTTGAATATTACATGCTCAATATAATTGTAGACTCTAGATTATCTACTTATATCTATCAAAATATATTGCAATGTCTCTACATTAATATAAATTAAACATTAATTTTGAATTATTCTTTATATCATTTAACTAGAAGATTTAACTTAATTTTGTATATTAAATTTTTTAAACTAAAAAGTTGCATGCGAAATAAAAAATACTCTCAAAAAATTAATACAAATTATGACTACATCTTGCTATTTAAAATCGAAATGTACTGCCATCTCAAAGTTAAACAACACATTATATCAATATTTAATACTGATCAAAACGATCTGATGTTTGAAACTGTATTCAGTTAAGACTATTTTTTTATTTTCTACAAAGAGGTCAAAGACACTAATTAGATTTATGCTTTCAATTCTATATAGTTTTACTCGCTTACATATATTTATAAACAAATTTGTTGTCTACCTAAAATTTATAATACTTTTTAAAAATGTAAGGCTTTTTAATAAAATAATATGTATATATATATATTCTCCTGAGTATGCAGCTACGTGTACCAACTAGGATACATAATATTTTGATTTTAACTCGGCGCATATACCTAAGAAATATAGTTATTCCTTGCAATTTTGCCAATGAATGTTAAACTGTTATTTTTGTCGCGATTCCAACTAAGTGTAACCGTAGTTGTTCTTCGGCACAAGAAAGAATTATAAAAATTATAATCGTGTTGGCATTTTTGTCCTACATTTTTTCACTGTGAGAACCTACTGGTCGAATTCATAACACGAGCTAGAGCACTCGTAATCACCACTTAGAAATTCAACTCAGACTAGTGCATTCGCATGGTGAATTACCTACCTATATTATATTGAACCGTCGTATAGGTGCGCTCAGTGTGCTGTTACGTATAAACCATATGCATATTAAAAAATAATATTGTCCGGACAACGTCAGGGCTTAAGTATTTGTCCAAAACCTAATAAAACGGAAATATATTTATCTGGTTGAATTCAATAAAAATGTTTTTTTATCATATTATGTTTTTCACTCAAATATAAACACTGTATCATAATGTATAACTCATAAATTGTTCAACATACCTATTGTAAGTATAAAGGTACGTTATAATATAATATATACATATTTTTTTAATAATTTAAATTAAAAATTAATTATGAGTGCATAGATTTAGGTTGTGGTGTGACATTATTTAGAACTGTTTACGGAAAGTAAACTTGTTTTGAAATCAAAATATTAAAATATCAAAAATAACCAAAGTACGACTCTAGATACTACTCTGACCTTTCAATTTAATAATAGCTTAATTTACTGTAATAATAAAAATAACTGATTAAAATGGATTCTTCTGAACGTGCAATTTTCAGTGTCATATGTTTTAGTACCTAAGAAGGAAGCAACACCCACTGCAGGTAGTACAACGTCGTCCTCTTTACACGTAATACTCGAAAAACCAAATAAAATCATCACAATAAAATTAGTGTAGTGGGTACTTATAAATTATCTATATATATAAGAATCTAACTTGATTTTGGAGACGAAGGAAACCGGTTTTGAACCCTCATTATGATAATAATAATTAACTAATTACCAATTATTTTCATATATTCACCGATAACGATGTCTGTTTCTTTTTTTTTAATTTTTTTTTTATTTTATAATCATTGTATTATTTGTGTAACCAAAAAATAGTCTTATGATTTTAAATTAAATTATAAAAAAATAATTTCTTCCGGAGGAAGGTCGGGCAACTAGTAAATTATAATACTATTTAATACTATAGTAGACACACATATTAGTCGTGTTTTATTAAAAAAATGTTTTTCAATCATAACAAATAATCTACAGCATTATCTAATAGAAAATGTGTATTTATATCGCGTAATATTTTATCAATTCTTTTTGAGAGAATTCATAATGTTAGTTAATAATAATATATAAAGCTTTACATTGACATTGTTTTAACTGAAAAATAAAATAATAAGTTTGCTTATGACTTAAACCAAAATTAATTAACTTTCAATCAGTACATAAGCTCAATAGAAAAAATTATTTTCTATTTTGGCAGTAATATACAATTTCCGATTAATGTTATGCTATTTATTAAAGAGTTAGTAACTCTTTAGCTCAAATATTTTAGTGCAATTTTTTTAAATGAATGTATGCTGACTAATAGACTCTTATTTACTATGTCATATAATATTTTATATAGTTTGTTTATTAAAGTAAAAAAAAAAAATACTCAAGTACCTATATTTGGCATATTTTTACTATATTACGTACAGTTACCGCATACTTTACAAATAATCAACGTACAGTATGCAAATAGTACTTAGTGCATTTTATTTTTATTTTTATTTTCCTTTTCCTTTAAATTACTGAAATTATTTTGTATACAAATATAAATTAAAATATCATAGAGTTATAAGTAGTACAAAACGGTTTCAAATATACAATTTGTATTGGAAAATGTAGTACAATAATGACAATTAAGATTTATGACCAATGATAGCCGATTGGACCATATATATATATAATTCTCGTATTATTGTATAACAAAGGTACATCCATGTACGACATATTTTTTTCTCAAGATTTTTTTGCTAAAAACTCAATATAATATAAAGTACATAGGTATAACAATTAAAAAACAAAAAACAACTACTAAGATCTTTTAAGATCTTTAAAGAAAGAAACAATCTACCTAATACGTATATATACTTGCTGTCCTTGAACTGCCAATTATTATACTATACTAGTAACATTCAATGTAATAGGCGTATATTTTTTGGTAGGCCTCAAGACCAATTTTGGAGAAATTTCCTTTTCCTAATCTCACCTTTATTTTAATGTAACACTGAGGTCGACAAGTTTCGTATTCATTCTGTAGACTTAAACCGAATCAGTTCATCGCATGTATTAAGTGCCCAAGATGGGTAAATGTAAGCCAAATGTAGGTACATGAGTTTTCCATCAATAATGGGCAGCAACTAATAGCTTAGAAATATAAAATATATTTAAATATTATAGATACTACATTAAAAGAAGAATAATTAATTGTGTAACAAATATTTTAAAATTTGAATAATCGTTGATACCTCCTGAATTAAAATTAAAGTATAATATATTAAAAACACTGAATAATATTAAAGTAAAAGAGGTAGCCTTTAATTTGTTTATTTAATTTTCAAATTTAAAAAAAAACAAATACAAATCCCTAACAACGAAATGTTTTAGTGATTTATACGGTACTTTGTAAAAAAATGTAAGCATATTGTTTGACCAGTATGGTTTTTTGCTTAATTTAATTTTTAATTTTAACCAGCGGTTATTAGAGAGGATATCATGATAATATCTAAATTTTATTTACAATAATATTAAAAATATAGAGTTGAATAAATATACCTACGAATTATAATTTTTTTGCGTGTGCCACAAGGACACATAAACAAAATAAATTAACCAATATCGTCGTTTTTAATATTAGACGTAATTTTTAGTTGCCAAAAGTAATTAGATAAACAACGATATTTTTTGTATACGAATGAAAAAATATTAATAATAATCATAATACTTTAATAACAACATAAGGGAATTCTACCCGATTCCTATGATGAGCATAAGTGTTCCTCATAATTTTATAAGAACAATGAAAATTTAATAATTATCATGTATTGTAAATTTGTAACATTAAAAAAATAAAAATAAAATACATTACATGAAAGAAAAATAAATGTCTATCCTTATAAATCAATGATTAATTACATGATATTAGGTCTTAGAGGAAAACTATTCTGTTCGTTTTATATGTTTAATAGATCTGAATAATGATATTTATTTGTTTATTTAACGTCAATCGGCAATTCAAAGATATACAGTAATAAGTTAAACACAGAAAAAATTACAATAATTATAGTGTATAAGTGATCACGCAGACAAAACAAAGGTAGAACACAGTAGTCCATAGTGTAATTTAACTAGTTGGCACAATTATAAATATTACATTTCTACAAAACGAGTTAATATGACTTATATCTCGTAGACGCATTTGGGCGATTATTCAAAGCACATTCACAGTGAAATTTGTAAATATTTTCCGAGACTAT